AGCAATCAGGGAAACATGGGGGAGGATGTGACATGTAGGTCATAACAAGAGTGGTTTTAAATCTTGTGTAAGGAGAGGCTACGGCTGGCTGGGCAGGAAATGGCCTCAGTGCAATCAAACTATGTGTCTTGGTCTGTTCTGTCGTCACTGGATTCACCTCCTTGGCCCCCATTGGATGGCCAAAAAGGAAACGGGAGACTGTTTCCTCGTTACTGTCACTGTAAACCCCGCAGGCTATGACTCTAACTGTTTGTTCTCGTGTCTCCTCTCAGGCTCTGAAAGCTCTGCAAGACATGAGTCTGTCCTCGCCCTGCGCCCTCCCTCCTCTCTCCATGCGTCACAGCAAGGCAATACCCGTACAAGCCTTTGAGGTAAGCGTAATACAGTAGTATTGCACACATGCTGTACGTATCGCACAAGACACTCACAAGGAAATTAAAATCTGAAATCAATGCCAGCGCTTTTTTAGTCATGGCTCTCAGGGGTATTAGATTATACTGGAGAAAAAAAAGTGACTTAAAACTACTTACACCTAACTACTTGGAATGTGGCTTCAGATGTTGCTAAAATTCAGAATGCATGTTTATTAAATATGTCCCAAATAAGTATTTATTTTAAAGCTCAGATGGTGGGACATTTTTTTAAGAAGGCGAGGCTTATAAACTCACGATAGACCCGACATTCATCAATGCACTTGTGAGACGTCAGTCACGTCGTTCCAAGGAAATATTGCGAAGGTTTGACTCGGTGTTTGTGGGGTATAATAAGGAAATGTACGTGAGAGATACATGGTTGGGAATGTTAGCGGTCACTGAAGTCTGTATGCTTTGTAGTGATTACGACACTGCAGTTTCCTGTTTTAGTAGAACTGAGAGGTTGTACAGATAAAGAGCGCTATTGGTAGGTGTAACCACAAAGATGACTAACTGTGAGGAAAAGAATACTTCCTGAGGTTAAATCATTTGGTCCTTGGTTCTTGAAGCAAACGTTGTACAATAACCTCAAACAATCTGATCATCAATATTGATTAAAAATAAAACACGTGATCTATCTATCTGACCTCTGACTTTTAACCTCGTCCGGTCCACTACTCTATCTATCTGACCTTTGACTTTTAACCTCGTCCGGTCCACTACAGGTAAAGCTGGACGTTTACCTGACAGAACTGACAAAGATAGGAAAAAGTCAGAAGTACACACTGTCTGTGGATGTGGAGGGAGGACGACTGGTGATGATGAAGAAGGTGAAGGACAGTCAGGAGGACTGGACCACCTTCACACATGACAAAAGTAAGAAACAGACACTCACACACACACATATCTTCAGTTCAAACTCGACCTTAAAATAAAAATAATAATAATAATACGTTTCATCCCACACAGTGAATCACTGAGCCCATGCTTGCTTGACACCCAGACCAATATGATCAACTGATGTAATCATCTTGTGATTCCTATTAATTATCGTATGACAATGATCACATTCATTGGACAACATATTTCAGTATACCTTACGGCATTATCCGCTCATTGTAACTGAAATCAGCTGGATGCAGCAAACACCCGAGGCATTATTCTTAACTCCGAGACCCTACATTGAACTACATTTCGTGTGAAATGGAAAATCGATGTATTTATCTGCTGTCCGGGAAATTATATGTATTTCGTCTGTGTGCTATGAGAGCAGTCTAACAATGTGTATCCTCTCCTCTTTCGAGTTGGTTTTCATCTGCTTGTTCTCAACTTTTCCAGCCTATTTCCAGCCTGTTGCACAATGTCCTAAATAAATCAAAGTTTCCTGACCAGGATCTAATTCTGTATCTGAGTCAGACTGCGCGACTTCCGTTCCTGACTTTTTCTCCCATTTCTAAATGTTAATGCAATCATTTATTTTATCCGCTGACCTTCCTCAGTCACCCACGCATTATCTGTTTTCTGCTGACTCTCTTGTCTTGTGTTCTGCTTGTCTGTCTCTTTCAGTCCGTCAGCTGATCAAGTCTCAGCGGGTGCAGAATAAACTTGGTATTGTGTTTGAAAAGGAGAAGGACAAAAGTCAGAGGAAAGACTTTATCTTTGCCAGTGCTAAGGTCCACACGCACAAACACGGAAAATTAAAAGGAATAAAAAAGGAAATGAAAATATAATTAAATACAACATTTTGTGTGTATATTTCAGAAGAGGGAGGCTTTTTGCCAGCTGCTTCAGCTGATGAAGAATAAACATTCCAACCAGGATGAGCCAGACATGATTTCTGTCTTTATAGGCACCTGGAATATGGGTATGATGAACTAAAAATGAAGATAAATTAAATGTAAGTTCGAGTGTTCCAATAGTTCACTTTCATATGTCGGTATTATTTGTTTCACAGGTTCGGTGCCTTCTCCGAAGTCTGTGGCCTCTTGGGTTTTGTGTCGCGGCCTGGGGAAGACTCTGGATGAGATGACCGTCACCATCCCCCACGATCTTTACGTGTTTGGAACACAGGAGAACTCAGTGTGCGACCGCGAGTGGGTGGAGTCGCTCCGTGCCATGTTAAAAGAGCAGACAGAACTGGATTATAAGCCGGTGAGAGAAGGAGGCAGAGTCAACACATTTAAATCTACGTCGTGCCATGTGGGCAAACAAGAGGTTGATTATGTTTGACTGGACCTTTGAACGCTGCCCCCACCATAAAAGCCTGACATATGCTGGGCTGACTGAAGCATTGATTACAACACACATCGTGTCACCAGATGATAACAGTGATTTCTCGTTCACCTCAGTTGGCGAGTTAATGAGAACAGAACTTTCACATAAGGTATTCATTAACTCGAAATTTTCACCCGAGGTCGGGAACAACCCATGCAATCCATAGATTAAGTTATGTGTAATAATGTGAAATGACGCAGGGAACAAAGTATTGAGCACGTGGTAAAAGGGAGGGAGCAAAAGGGCATGGAAAGCCAAGACACCTGTTGAAATCTATCAGTAATTATAAAGCAATCCTGACACTTGTCACTGCAAATTAATATTGCTTGGTTCAGTCTCAACAGATGGCCTATACGAAGGTGTGTGGAATCCAAGGTGTCACACAAGAATCATCTCATGATGGGTAAAACCGAAGCTCTCTCAAGACCTTCGCAACCTTATTGTTGCAAAAAAACACACCGATGGCATTGGTTACAGAAGGATTTCTAAACGTCGGAATGTTCCAGTGAACACTTTTGCGGTCATAACAATAAAGTGGGACGGGAAAATGTATTGAGACATTCTTGATTAAAAACCTGCTGCCATCTACCGGGATGGTGAAGATGAAACGATGGTGGAGATTTCGGCAAGACAATGATCCCAAACACACAGTCAAGGAAACTCTCAGAGAAATTTCAGAGAATTTTTTCAGGAAATTTTTCAGGAAGCATGTTCAATACTTTTTCCTAGCGTCATTTCGTTTTAATACACATGACTTTTTTTTTTCTGAAATTATTTATTTCGGTTTCACGTCTGGATTGTATAGGTTGTCATCGACATTTTCGTGAGACATATTTTTTTCACACCTTTAGAATTATATTTTGTGAGAAAAAAAGATGACGTGTTCAATACTTATTTCACCCGTTGCGTTCGCTAATTTTATAAATGTCTTTTGTTTGTGACGCTAGATTGCAGTGCAGACTCTATGGAACATCAAGATCGCTGTTTTAGTAAAACCTGAGCACGAGAATCGAATCAGCCACGTGGTGATGTCCAGTGTCAAGACGGGCATCGCAAACACACTGGGTAACTTCTGTTTCTGTTTGTTTGTTTGTTTTTTTCAAAATATGACTTATTTATCTTCTGTATTTAATTTTTAAATGAATATTTCTCTTTTTTTTAATCTTCCTTAGGTAACAAAGGAGCTGTAGGTGTGTCCTTCATGTTTAATGGGACATCGTTCGGTTTTGTGAATTGTCACTTGACGTCAGGGAATGAAAAAATTGGCAGGTACAAAGAATGCAAACAATGTTTTTTTTTTTCCCACATCTTTGCCTAATAATATTTTACCAACACACTGATGTCTACTTAATACTACTTAATCTTATTCTATCAGCTCTTATTTTGTTGTTTTTCACCATTGCCTGACGTACCGGTGTACGTTCTCCTCCCTGCAGGAGAAACCAGAACTACCTTGATATCCTGCGGCTGCTCTCTCTGGGAGACAAACAGCTGAGTTCTTTTGATATCTCACTACGCTTCACACATCTTTTCTGGCTGGGAGACCTCAACTACAGGCTTGATATGGACATACAGGTGCGGGAGATCAGAGACGGTCACACATGCATGTCAACAGAGCGATAATACATGCAGTACACTCAGGTGTTTATAAATGACCTCTGTTGTTGTTGTCTCTCTCTCTCTCTCTCTCTGGGGTCGTTGTGGACACAGGAGATCTTAAACTACATCAACAGGAAGGAGTTTGAGCCTCTGTTGAAAGTGGATCAGCTCAATCTGGAGAGGGAGAAAAACAAAGTCTTTTTACGATTTGGTTGGTATATATATATATATATATATATATATCTACACCAACTGTACCTTTAATGACTACCTCGATATCCAAATGTTACGTATGTGGAAAAAACAAACAAACACATTTGTGACAGTCATGTGCGAACATGTGTTGTTTTGTTTGCAGTGGAGGAGGAAATCTCTTTCCCCCCCACCTACCGATATGAACGTGGTTCTAGGGACACGTATGTGTGGCAAAAGCAGAAGGCGACCGGAGTATGTTTTTTTTTTTTTTTTTTACGTTAACAGAATCACAGATACAGAAAACGTAAGCGTGCCTCTAACCGTGCTGTTCTCACTTGTCTGCGTGTTTTAGATGAGGACCAATGTTCCCTCCTGGTGTGACAGGATCCTGTGGAAGTCTTACCCGGAAACACACATAGTGTGTAACTCCTATGGTAAGAAAATGAACACACATTTGCCTTATTTATTCAAAGACATCAGAGGATTTGGCTGAACAGTATCAAGCTATAAATGCCACGGCCATCAAACTCATTTTCACCAAAGGCTTCGTCAGTATTATAGTTGCCTTTAAGGGCACTGTGAGTTACACTCTTGGACTGGATGGACTACCGCTCAAAACTTGACTTGATGGACCAAATCTAGCCTGCAGGTCATTGAGTAAATGCCAACAACTGGACTTGAAATGTGGGATTTTTTATCTTTTTTTTTAACAGGCTGTACAGATGACATCGTGACCAGTGATCACTCCCCTGTGTTTGCTACGTATGAGGTGGGAGTGACCTCACAATTTGTCTCCAAGAAAGGTATAAAACACAAAGTAGAGATTCTGCCGAAGAACGGACTGATGAGACAACCTACTTATTTCACTTCTTTCTACATTTTCCGTATTCATATTCCACGATGTTAAATGTGTTGACTAATTCGTGTCTAGGTCTGCCAAAATCATCGGAGCAGGCCTACATTGAGTTTGAGAGCATCGAGGCCATAGTGAAGACCGCGAGCAGAACCAAGTTCTTTATTGAATTCTACTCCACGTGTTTAGAAGGTGAGAGAAACCTGTTTCTAACACCTGAACATGTGCATCGTTTTTACATCGTGTCTTTTAAAAAGCTACCACCAGGGGTTAAATGACAC